TGGACCGCAAGCACCTGCAGAGAGTGGTAAAGACTGCAGAGAAGATCACCAGGACTCCACTGCCCTCTCTGCAGAGCATTTACCACCGCAGGGTGCGTAGGAAAGCTGCCTCCATCCTCAAGGACCCCACCCACCCCCAGCATGTACTGTTCACCTTCCTGCCCTCTGACCGGAGGTTCAGAAGTGTGAAATGCAGGGCCACTAGACTGAAAAATTCTTTCTTTCCCTCTGCCATCAAGACTCCTAAACAGCTGATGAGTTTATTACCAGGAAATACGTCTTGTACTTTTTACATTCTCAGTTTGCACATGCACATTGCACATTGACTGTTGACTACTGCACATGCTGCTCCCATGCAGCATACACTCTTTATTATATTTTTATATATTTTTATTATATTGCTGCATTTGCTGTTGAAAGTGCCTTAGATTTTGTGTTACTTATTTATCTACTTTATATTTCATTTGTATTTTTGTGGCATTCATGTGGACGGCAAAGTAAGAATTTCATTGTACAGGGAAACAAAATTCCTGACTGTGCATATGACAATAAACACTTTGACCTTTGACCTTTGGACTAAGACACAACTTGTCATCCATCTACAACTCTCCAATACCTTAGACAGCACTGCATCAAGAATGGGGTTGTCTGTGGCTCACGAGGTAGGGCAGTTGTCTGCTGACCAGCAAGTTGGTGATTTGATTCCTGGTCTCCCTGCATGCCTAAGTGTCCCTGAGCAAGACACTGAACCCCGAATTGCTCCCGGTGGCTTGACTAGCGCCATTGTGTGGCAGCCTGTCGTCATCAGTGTGTGAATGTTGTATGATCTCCTGTAAAGCACTTTGGCCAGTGCAACACACTGTGGAAAAATGTGCTATTTACCAATACCTTAGACAGCACTGCATTCAAGATGGCTTTGGCTCATATAAACAATACGTAGTTACATCCAAACTGGACTGTGCCAAAAGGAAGCCCTATGTCAACAGTGTCCAGAAGCGCATTGTATCATGCATGTATTATGGTCAGACAAATCAGTATTTCAGGTCTTTTTGGAAGGATTGGACACTGTGTGCTACAGACCAAAGATGTTCAGACCAGGGACACCCATGCATATTCCAACAAGACAACACAAAATCTCATCCTGCCACATTACCAAGGCCTGGCTGTGGAGGAAAAGGGTGTGAGTGCTGGACTGGCCTGCCTGCAATCTCCACCTTTCCCCAGTAGAGAATGTGTGGAGAATTTTGCAACACAAATAGTTTCAGCGAAGACCCGGGACTATTGTGCACCTTAAGACTTGTTTGCAGGAAGAATGGGACAAAATGACACCTCACACATTTAAATTCACTTGGTGTGCTCAGTCCCTAAACGTCTTTTAGTGTTGTGAAAAGGAACGAAAACATCACACCATGGTAAATGCTTTACTGTCCCAACTTTTTTGGAATGTGTTGCAGCATCAGAATTGAAGTCAGTGTTTAGGATAATGATAATCACTTTTATTGGCCAAGTATGTTACACACAAGGAATTTGTTTCCAGTACGGAAATCTGTATCTGCGGCACCAACTCAACTGATGGCTCTAACCATTGGGGGCAATGGGGGGGTTCAGGACACTTCGACACATGCACTGCAGGCACCAAGATTCAAACCTTCAACCTTCTGGTTGGAAGATAACTGCTCTACCCACCGCACCACTGTCACCTCCCCCTTTATTTTGAACAAAGACTAAAACTGATGAGGTATCACATCAAATAAAGTGCTGCTGTGTTGTTTTCAATGTAATACAAGACACAGATGATTTACAATTAGTTGTGGTTATGATTTTACATACCATCCCAACTTTTTCTGATTTGGGGTTGTATTAAGGACACCCCTTAACACTCCCTAACACTCATACAGATTATCTTTGAAAGAAAAATATACTATTAAAATGTATTCTAGCATGTTTAATCCCAGGTGATGTCATCACCTGTTGTAGCCTGTAAAAGAACTACCAGCTGCAGGCTCTTAACCATTAGACTGCAGCAAAATCAATGAGGTTCTGTAGATTTTACTTCCTCTTTAGTATTTTAAAATCTCAACAAAATAAACACAAACACCAAATCTTTATTTTGTGTCTGAACCAAGTTTGAGTATTTGTGTTGTGTTTTAAAGAGCGAATGGAGACGGCCAATAAGCAACTCACTGCTAAAGAGTGTGAGGGTTCAGAGGACAACCGCAGAACTATATCCCAGCTGCTTGCACAGAGTGAGTAGAACACAGGCACAAACACATCCTGGGACATTCAACATGCCACCCTTGGCATTCCTCACCATCTGGATAACCGATAGGATGGGTCAGAAGACATACAAAACGTCCTTATCAGATAGCTCATATATCAATTTCTGTGTTACATCTAAATCCATGCATGAATTAAAATGTAACATCATTGAGCTATTGTGGTCATAACATTCTTGCTAATTAGAGGAAAGGCGTTGTATTTGTGTGTGGCTTTGTGTACTTACATGTTTAGACAAAGAGACGCTGCGGGAGAAGGAGAAGTTAGAGATAGAGCTGAATGCACTGCGCTCCACCACTGAAGACCAGAGGAGACACATTGAGATCAGAGACCATGCACTCAACAACGCCCAAGCCAAGGTGGTCAAACTTGAGGAGGAAGTAAGAACATCACTTGTCATTCTTACCAGATATATTTTTATATTTTATATTTCTATTTACTGGTTGTGGCCATGCTTGTCAGTGGCAGAAAATCATGATTGAGATAAAGAAGATGTTGATGTAGCACAGCAAGTAGTCAGTCATTTTTGCCACTTAACGGTGACAACCTGCGCCCTGAAGAAACTCCTGGAAAAGCTGCGTACAAATGCCAATAAACTCCAAACCAATTGCCCAGTCAGGTGGAATTCTATCGTTGTCAAGCTGGATTGGCTGTTAGCTGTGCAGTCTGTCCTCGCTAATGAAACTACCCCCAAACCAAGTGTCCAGAAGTCATTAGCCACAATAGTGTCACAGTGGGCGCTGGTGGAACAGGAACTGGTCACCATCTGCCTAGTCGAAAATATCAGATGCATCTCCCTGAAACAGTCAGGTCATGGTTGTGCGCTACACTTAAATGAGATGTGCAAAGAAAATACATGCACATATGCAAAATTAACCGCTTAGTCACCACCTTTAAAGTCTTTTCTCTTGTAAAAGTAAATCATGATGTTTTAAATACTTCGAATGAAGCTTGTCTTAGTGTATTTTGACCTCTTCTCTTCATTCTGCAGCAGCAATTTGGTCAGTACTACTGGGGCGGGGGCGGGGGTGGGGGGGGGGCACCCGATTCAACTGGGCCAGTGACACCACACCAGGAACTAGTAAAAGCTGAGTTTTGATGATGTCATGATGACATAATCAGCATCTAGTCGCTGTTGACTTGACTTTTATAACAAAAGTGTTGACTCTAAAAAAAAACTGGAAGTCCTGCAACACATGGTTGATAATATCTTAAGTTTAAGAATAGATGGCAGAAACTGTCACAACTGTGACATGCTACATTTAGTATACATATAACTGAGAGGTGGACTTTCACAGGGATAGTAAAGTTTGATTAATAGTTGTACCTTAAAGGCCAGTTTATGCTTCTGTACTGAATCTACGCTGTAGGTACGGTGCAGGTAATGCATAGCCTCATACCCTGTGCCGTACCCTTCACAGCAGTCTGACGGGAACCTCCCCAGAAATGCAAATGCATGCCGCAGCAATGTAGACTGCAACAACTGTGATTGGTTGCATTGTATTTCCTTGTTCACGTCTCTCAGTGGCCGGACAAGCACAGAAAATCCCCCCCTGTATTTTTCCAAGTCAATTGAAAATAATTGTCACAGATCGAGAATTCTATTTAATACTATCAACAGTTGTTAATCCCCCTGCTCTTATTCACCACATTATGTGTTCAGATATCTGTGACAACTTTCTCAGGTTTTCTAACTGGCAAAATTGCTTTTTCACCTAAAGTCGACAAACAGCCCTCTTAATATTGTTCCTTTCTGTCTTTTGAAGGACATGTTTGATACTATTGGGCCTAATATTCCATCCATGATTAAGTTCCTGTTTTTAAACATGCTGTAGTGCAGCCTTTGATACCCTTGTTCTTTTTAACTTGAGGCCAATTTATAAAATGCCTTTCCTCTCTAAAGTCCTTGAGAAAGTTTTTTTCTCCAGTTGCAGTCCTTCCTTAATGCTGATAATATTTTTGTGAAATGTCTGATTTTAAAGCACTCCACAGTACTGAGTCTGCACTTTTAAATGTTTTTTCTGATCTTTTATCAATAACTGATTCAGGGGCTTCTGCTGTTTTAGTACGTTCAGATCATAGAGCTGCATTTGACACTGTGGTCCATATGATCCTCCTTTCTCGACTTGAAACGTGATGTAGTTAAGAGGCACCGTACTAAACCGGTTTAAATCCTATTTGATTCATAAGACTTTTTCAGTCAATCTTCCTCAGCCTCATCATTTTATTTTCCACTGAAGCTGCAAGCATGGAAAATTCTGTCAAGTCTTTATTGACTTGACTAGAGGACATTAAAGCTTGTGTTGGACCCCCGTTCTTTTCAGCACGTTAACTCTGAGAGACGAAGCAGTCTGAGTAACTTCAAAACAGTGCTGATTTATTCAATGGACACAGGTAAAATTAACATTACACGCTCAGGAGTCTTTGCACCTCCAAGATGCACGCAGGCAGCTGGAAGATGAAAAGCCCCCAACCATAACAGGCCTATATATTATATCACTTTGGGCTAGCCCATACTACTCAGGGATGCTAAACCGTGATGTCTCCGGTGCCAGCTTTGCAGCTGACCATAGCAGTAGTCAA